GTAAAAAAAAAAAAAAAAAAAAAAAAAAACCGCATACGCGTATGCTGGTTTTTTGGCATGTACGTGTACTCGTGCATACGTGTACGTGGTGCTACCCAGCCTAACACCTTGCTCATCATAATTGTAAACAAGTATGGATCTCAGCACACTTTCACATATCAGGCGAGATGGTAGGCGTATCCATCATCGCACTAAGTATTTTAAAGAAGTCCGGATCTCATCAACATCCAAACAACCGTCTCCGGCGAGATGATTGGCATGCCTGCAGAAGTTTGGGATACCCCAAAGAAATATGTTATCCAACAAGGATTCAATCATGACACCTAACTCATCACATTTATGAACTTTGAGTTTAACATGTATGGATCTCAACACACTTCCGCACAGGGTTCCCGGATGGTCGTGCCTATCACTATACTAAGTCTTTTAAACAAGTCCGAATCTCATCAAACATCCAAACAACCGTCTCAGGCGAGAGGATAGATATGATTGTGCAATTTAGGAATAACCTAAAGAATTATGTTATCCGACAAGGATTCAATCATGACACCTTGCTCATCTTATTTATAAAGTTCAGCAAGTATGGATCTCAGCACACTTCCGCATTTCGAACGAGTGGATGGGCATGCTACGTTGCTTAGGCTGCATCAAAAAAAAAAAATTCGTTAGAAAGAGGACACAATATAATGTCCTATTTTAACGAATACCATGTTTTAAGTACTATTAACAAACAAGATAACACGTTCGCATGCTACTTTGAAAAACTTTGCTTTTTTCCTCGCCACTTCTAGTAAATCTTAAAAAAATATATATATATATGTCCGATGGCAGGACATCCTGGGCGGACAGTCAGGGGGGTCCCGGACGTCCGGACCTGGAAAAGTCCATTTTTAGCAATTAAATACACGACAAGAAAAATAAAAAATTAAGGGTGACTTTAATTTTATTTTTTATTTTAAAATTAACAACGAATTTCGATATTATCCCAAGACAAAAGTTGTTCAGTTTATGTTTCTGCATAAGGCTCTAACAGTGTGTCAGGGGAGGATGTCCGACCGGTTGTCAGAGTGGACAATCCCGGACGATAAGGGGGGTCCCGGACGTCCGATCAGGTAACCTAGTTTTTTTTTTTTTTTTTCTTAGTTTGCAAAGAATCTTACTCATGTAGAAGGCCTAAAAACTGTACTTTCAGAATCCTAAATAAGTTTCGTTCAAACCCAATATTTTTTTTGGTTGGGTTTTCACGAATCCTATGATATCCAGAGTTCGTATGGGTTGCCACGCCAGGGGTTCCAAAGCTC